GTGGAAGGATACAGGAAGCAACTATTTTATGATAGTGGAATTAGAAATTAATTACTTACAAGTTTGACCCACTTTTTTCTCAAGAAGCATTTAATCCTCCCTAGAGAGACCCTCTAATTTTTATCAGTTCTGACAGTTTGGTCGAGATTAACCACCAGGCTTACATCCATGAAAACTGATGTCTGCACAACACTATGTTTTGGTGGCCAGTCACTCTAACAACTGCTGCTGGAATTCCCTCCTTTCCCTTCATTACATTTTTCTTGCTTTTGAAAGGTTTTCTCAGTTCTCATGCAATGCCAACCCATAGCTTAGTGTTCTATGAGCGAGCCTCAGGTTTGCATGTTCCCTTCCTGCACCTACTTCCCTTTGCCTTCTATGATTTCTTGCCTCCATTCATGTTTGGAGGCAAATTGTAGAGTGGATGTAATGGGCAACTATTGCTTGCCTCCAAACCAGGTAGCGAAAGAATCACGGCATGCATGAAGGCAAGGGAGGATGCAAGCCTGAGGCTCAGACGCCGTAGCCAGCCATCGCTTTCCCATTATGTCCAAAGTGGGTCTCCGTTTAATTTTTTAAATGCTGAGCATTTTCCAATAGTTTTGATTAGCACCTCCAATTCCAGTATGTTTCCAAGAATCAAGGAGCAGTTTTAAGTCCATTAGTCTACACAGTTCTGTACATGGAGTACAGTAGAATAAAGTCCTCCTTGGCCATTGTGATGTGCCAGAAAATTGTTGGCAGTTGAGCAATTAGGACAATGCAGAACTCTGTATTTTTTTCAAATGGTCCCTAATCGACCTGGAGAAAACTCATAGCTTTTATTTCACTGAATACAGTAAGCACAACTAGGTGTGCCTCATTCCTATAGTCATGTCATTGGACTGGAGGCTCTGCAGGGAAAAGGTTTTCTCAATTGTTGGCTCAGGCCACAGCCTTTCTGCTGTGGCTTGGCGGTATAGAGAAGGTGGTATTATGTGTGATGAGGCGATCTGAGCTCCTTGAGCCAGTGCAGGGGGTTACCTCTGGATATGTGTTAACTCTTGAAGGACCCAGCTAAATCTCATTTTATATGTGAGAAAGATACATGTAATATCCTTCCAATATTTTCACATATATTTCAGTACTGGTGTGTGTGTGTGTGGGGGGGTGGAATTCAGAAGCATCTCTCAATAGGTTTTATCTTTGCCCAAATTTGCTGAACACAGGCTTAACATCAGCCAGTCAGCAATCACATTCAGAAGCCTCTTGGCTCCAAGTGGAATTCTTGTTTCCTTCAACTTCAAAGGGAGCTCTATCTAGGGATCAGCTGTCCCAGTTGATTTGCTTCGAACATCCTTTTCTGCAGCAATCAGATTTGCAGGCAGAACTCCTTGATCTACTTCCTTGATCTACTTGCTGGGATTTGTTTTCCTTTCCTAACCCCAAAAAAGTTCTGTGTTACTATCATGCTCTGGAGTTAGTTTAATATTTTAAATAATACATAATTCTACTTTCCGATACTTATTCTCTAGCCTTAAGGAGATGGAAATTTAGCTGCTTTTAACACATTTAGTTGCTTTCAGAGAAATATACTTAAGGGGCAGTCTCTAAGGTATCAGAGATGCATTTTTATGTTTAAGAATACATCAGTGTTTTAGTACTTTCACCTCAGAATTTTCAGAGGCAATTAGCATTCATCTGGGATCTGTCTTCTCCCCTTTCGTTCCCATCAGCCGGCTACTTTTTTGTGTTTGACTGATTGAATATTAATGATGTAGAAAACATTTAAAATGGTTAACAAAATAATGGTTATATTTTATATGTTTAGAACAACAGTGTCTTGGCATCATAGGAGGCAAATGAAACTCCAGTCCCATGCAGTGAAAATGTAAAGATGCTTAAGGAATGCTTAGCGCTGCTTGCATCTGAGGGTATGTTTGTAGGAGTGTTCTGACAATAGGAGTTGCTTGGATATCAGTGTAACTATGTAATTTATTTTTAACATTTATGAATAATTCTAATGTCATACGCATACAAATCAATTTTCAACAAATTGAAGCAATTTCAAATAATTAAAAATGTAGCACATCATCCAACAAATATGGAGAGGTTTCAGGCGTCATATATTTCAGCAGGGGTCTTGTTGTAGAAAAAGAGCTGCCGGAGCTCATTAGCATAACTCATTAGCATAACTTATTTGCATATGCCACGCCCCCTGACATCACTGGAAGTGACAGAAGGCCACACCCCCTGACATCACCGGAAGTGTGTCAGAAGGCCCGGCTACTTACCCTCCTGCTTCATCCTCATTCCCAAACGGAATGAGGATCGAAGCAGAGGGCGGGGTAAAGAAGGGGGCGGGGCTTCACCACGTGACCGCCCCGCCCCCTAGAGGTTCTCTTCCGGAGCTCCGTACCTGAGAGCTCCCCCCCGACTAGAGCCCTGTATTTCAGCATGTGCTTAAAGGCTGTGATCCTATGCAAACCCCGAGATTAAGAAGTGCCACTAAGAACTATAACACTTCTTTCCGAGGAAAGATTTTATTTATTTATTTTATTCAATTTCTAGCCTGCCTTCCCCTGCTCAGCAGGGCTTATGGTGGGTAACAGCAGTGATTAACAGCAGGGGTATCCCCCCCCCAAAGAGCACTACGCTGTGCAGATAAGAACTGACTTGTGGTCCCCCCCTCCCAGAGACATTTGGCTGTCCTTGACCAGGGCCAGGGCACTAAAAGCCTGATCTTCTCCAGGTGGCCCGCAGCTGCAGGGAACCCAGGCATGTTTAGAATGCCTTTCTTTTCCTTCCCCAGATGGGGAAGGGAAAGAAAGGCATTTAAATCCCCCCAGGCAGTGGGGGGCTCTGCAGGCCTTCCCTGGCTCGTCTACCTACGCAGGTGGGCCAGGAATGGCAGCGGGGGGGGCTGTCCCGGGCTCCTTACTGCCAGAGCGCTGCTCTGCAGCTCTCCGGGAGGAAATGACCCCTGTCTGTACCAATCCCTTCCAATGCTATGAATAAATAAAGCAGATGTCACATAAAACACAATATAATCCATTCTGTCTAGGCAAGGATTGTGTATCATGTGTGTTTGTAGATGTTAGAACCCATACTGGGACCGAGTGGGTGCCTGGAGAAGACCAGGGGAGGCCAGTCCAGATGAAGCTATCATTGCCTCAGCTGTACATCTGGTGAAACATTTTGGTCTTACAGGCCCTGCGGAAGTGCATGAGAGCGTTCCACCAGATGGGGCTAGAGCTGAGAAAGCTCTGGATTGAGTTACGGCCAGATAGCTGCTTTTTGGGCTAGGAACCTGAATATACAAGTGCTTAACTTTTATTCAGTCAAGCTTTCTGTTGTTTTTAATTACTTACAACATACTTTTGTTGTTGTTGTTCAGTCACACAGTCGAGTCCGACTCTTCGCGACATACTTACATAATATAACATATAACAATATAATATAATAATATAAACAAACCAACATACTTACATAATAGTAATAATAATAATAATTCAATACTGCTGTAAAATCAGATGTTGTCAAAGGCCAACAGAACCAAATAAAACTAAAATCTCAGTTCTCTGAAGGAGCTAGTTTGTAGCTTGGGATACTGCTGGATCCTGGTGTACAGTTGGAAGCCCAGATATCCTCTAGGTTAGGTAGTACCATTTATCAGCTTTGGCTGATATGCCAGCTACAGCCATTTCTCAGAAAGCTTGATCTGGCCATGGTAATCCATGAACTGACATACCAGGAGAGACAGTCCCAAAGATATGTTGGTCCCAGGCCGTGTAGGGCTTCAAAGGTCAAAACCAAAATCTTGAATCTGATCTGGTATTCAGCTTGGAGGCAGTCCAGTGCATAGACTTCAGCTTATCCAAAATGCAGCAGCCAGACTATGCTCAGGGATACATAGACCATATCATCCCAGGACTGAAAGATCTACACTGGCTGCCCATTTGTTTCCAGGCATAATTCAGAGTGCTGGTTCTTCTCTTTAAACCCCTAAATGGCTTGGGGCCAGGGTACTTGAAAGATTGCCTCCTCCCATATTATCCAACTCACCAGTTAAGATTTGCATCACAAGCTCTGCTCTCTGTGCCCCCACCTTCAGAGGTAAGGCAGATGGCAACCAGAGACAGGAATTTTTCAGTAGTGGCACCTCACTTATGCAATGCCCTTCCCTTTACAGTTTGCCTGATACCTACATTGCTTTCTTTTAGGCACCAGGCCGAAAATTTTCTATTCTCCCAGGCTTTCAATTAAAGGGTTGATTTTTTAAAACAGTATTTTATTCTGCCATAGGTTCCCCCCCGAAATGACCTCTGATTGTTAGACATATCTCTCAAAATGAAATCAGTATGAATATACAAGTGCTTAACTTTTATTCAGTCAAGCTTTCTGTTGTTTTTAATTACTTACAACACACCTTTAAGACTAACAAACTTTATTGTAGCATAAGCTTTCAAGAAACACATCCCTCTTTGTCAGATGGACACTCTTTATTCTGGACACTCTTATTTTAAGCTGTCTGTGGTCTGTTTTTATGGTCAATTTTTTAATGCTGGGCTGGGTTTTTTGAGGCTGGATTTTAACTAATATCTTTTAATGATTTATTATTTTTATTTTGTAAGCTGCCTCAGGCAGGTTTCTAGAAAGACAGCATAAAATTTTTCTGCACAAAATAAATACTTTAAAAGTTGTTGAGACAGATTTAAAAATTAAAAGTGTGTGTAAATTTCTCCATTAAAATCAATGGGGTTTAAAAGTGCTTAACTTTGACTAGATATTGACTTGAATCCAGACTAGTGTTTGTACAGACATAAGGGTTTCCTCCCAGAGAATGCAATTTTCCTGCCTCCCCTCTCTCGTGGCAGCCTGAAATGGCTTCTGAAATCCTGTTCCTGCATATCACTGTCCTTGTCCCCACAGAAATGCTCGTCTGTATCCAAGCCACCAAGTTACATTAAATTATTAAAATCTCAAAGACGCATTAAACCTGTCTCTTTTTCTCAACCTAGCCTAAGATACATTCCAAAAGAATAATCAGCAGGTCAACTAAATGCAATACATTTGAGGTAGGACTTAGAATGGATGATCTATTGTAGTTGTAAAAGAATGGTACTTACATGCAAAAACTTATTTACTCTTAACTATTTATTCAACTCATTTCTCCATAATGGCTCCTTTCTTTTATTTCACAAGGATGTTAATACAGGTGAAGGGAGTGAATTCGCTGACAGCGGGATTGAGGGTGCAACTACTGACACGGACCTTCTTTCCAGACGTTCAAATGCTACGAACTCTAGTTATTCTCCAACAACCAGTCGGGCCTTTGCTGGCAGTGACAGTGGCAGCTCTTCTACAGGCGATGGGGCCCGTCAGGGAGTATATGAGAACTTCCGACGGGAGCTGGAGATGAGCAGTACCAATGATAACCTGGATGAAGCTGCTTCTGCCCTGAGTGATGAACAGAGCAGTGGGACTTTAAGTTCCCCAGGACAGTCAGACATTCTTCTTACTGCAAGTCAGGGAACTGTACGGAAAGCTGGAGCACTTGCAGTGAAAAATTTTCTTGTCCACAAAAAGAACAAGAAGGTGGAGTTAGCCACACGAAGGAAATGGAAGCAGTACTGGGTTTCCTTAAAAGGTACAGTAAATATATTATCCAATTAGACATCAGAAGTCAAAACTATTTAAAGCAGTGGATAATGTTACCCCGATAGGAGCTTGCTTGGGTGGTCTTGTGTGCATATAAGCAGGAGCTATTATTAAGAGTGGATCATGGTATTCTGAGATGGGCAAAACAAAAGGTATTAAAATATTAGTTTATTGGATTTTTGTTATATAATGCAATAAGGTTCACCTCAGGCAAAAAACTGATAGGTAAAGAACACTACCTCAGGAAAACCTGCATCAAAAGGTTTTGTGAGGCAAAAATTCTACTCTGAGCTGCTTGCAAATAGGGCAGGAAAATAAGGTCAATAATCTTTTATAAAAAGATTAAAGTATGCCCTGATTGATTGTTTATTTAGTGTATTTTATTCCACTTTTTCTTTTGAAGGGATATCCAATGTGGTTTTCAAAATGTAAATAAATTCAAATGAAACATAGTATAAAGCCCAACAAAAAATAAAAGGTACTCAAACATTCTGGGCTGGTATCTACCAGAATAGTCCATCAGGGCTGGTTTTACTTTGGGTTTTCTGGTTTGAATCAGTTGTTTTTAATTGTGGTTTTATAAAATTGTTTTTTCATTGTTGTTCCCCTCCTTGGGTTCCAAGATGCTCACGAAGAAAGGTGGCCATATAAATATTTTAAATAAATTAAATTAATAAAAGCCACAGGCTGCAAGCTTGCAAACTCCTCTGTGAACAGATAAATGCCTAAATAAGGTGGATGGACTACAAATTTAGGAATGGGTATGAACTGGGAAAATGTGGTTCAGTTCTGTTTGTGGCTTGTGGCATGCCCAGTTTCAAACTTTTAGCTGCTAAACAAACTGGTTTGGCTTGTGAAGTTTGGGACACAGTAGAATGCCTGGTTTCCTAGAGACATAAAACGTGTAGATGATCCCTGGCTCTCTCCTCTACCTGCCCTCCAAGTTTGGTAAGGATTGAATTTACAGAGTCCAAATTACATGCCGCTCCCTCTAAGTTGTGGAGTCTTGTGAGCAAAAATTCTACTTAGTGAGCTACTGGCATTAAAATTGTGAATGAGTGATTTGGCTACTACATAAATTAGTTTACTCTGGAGCCATCCTTCCTGAGCTAAGACCAAAATGTGTGAGCTGGAGGCTAAAAAACTGTGAGCTAGCTCACACTAACTCAGTTTAGAGGGAACACTATGCCTCCCCCCCCCCAAAAAAAAGAGAAAGTGCCCCAAGGAAAGTGCTTTCTGGAGAAATGACTGCCTGGGGGCACCTACTTTGGGGGGCTGTAGCTTGGACCCATAAATCCAATCCTCACCAAACTTGGAGGGCAGGTAAAGGAGATTCAGCCAGAGATCCCCTGTGAGTTTGGTGTCTCTAGCTTGCACAGGATCTGTTCTATGTGCTCCTGAACCTGCACCTGTCAAAATGACAGGAGCAGGTTCAGGAGTGTATAGAACAGATCCTATGGAAGCTAGAGACATCAAAGTCCAGGGGACCTCCCCCAATGCTCCTCTACATGCCCTCCAAGTTCTGCCCCCCGTTGCTTTGAAGTTTTGTAAACATTTAGATTGAGCCTGTCTGGAAATGTATCCATTCACGAAACACCATGAACCACTGGAAAGTTTGTGCTGGTTGACCCACCATAAATGTCACTTCACAAACCACAAACTGCCCAAAATTTGTCATGAGCTTTGGTTCATGAGCCAGCTCGTGCTCATCCCTACTAGTTGAAACGGGCAGGAAATTTATTCTGATGCTTTTAAAGACATATTTATTTCTCAGTTCTTTACTTCTTTGTAGGCACATCTCAAAATCAGTAGATGTTGCATCAATTTTCATCAGTGAAAATGAATGTTAGGAGCATATCTGTGATCACAGTCAAAGTCAAAGGTTTTTCAGGCAGGGCTATTATCTATACATTAAAGCAAAATACTTTCTGTTCAACATTTTGTGCTCTGAAGTCATATAAACATGAAAGAAATGGCTGTGCTGGATTGAATAGGAGTAGCAATATGGTATATAGCAAGCAATGAATATTTGAAAGCCATGAAGCCTTGCACCTCAGGCCTAAATATGATTAGTTCTGAAACAGTAGAATTAAAGTGGAGTTTATTTTCAAGTAAACTTGCATAGGATTGCTAGATTTGCTATATAATTCTGCCTTAGATCTCTATTATGATTAGGGCCAGGCCTGGCAACCAGTGAATGACTGGAGAGGAGCCATAGGCGACAGTAGGACTTCATTTATATGAAAACCCAGGAAAAAGAGGTGCCGGAACTCTCAAGAGGGAAATGAAGTTTTCAGTCTGTATAGTGAAAGCTCATGACCTTTTAAACATTTTAAAAACAATTGTGTTGAAGAGGTTCTGGAACTCTGTTCTGGTGTGTTCCCCCAGAAAAAAAGCCCTGACCTCAGAAGTGGTGTCCTGCCTGTCTAGGAATCACCAAGTTTGTAGTGATGTTTACAGAGGACAAGCCTCATTTCCAATAGGAAATCAGAAGCAATGTTAGTCCTTTCTAGGAATTGTTGAAAAGTCTGTAGTTTTACCATAAAATTTCTGGCTATTCTTAGAGAGGCGTGACATCCGGGGAAGACCCAGAAGTGACATCATGCTATAGGCCTGATAGCCTTTAAAAAAATAATCTCTCACTTCCACTCAGAGCAGTGGCAGAGAAACAAGAGTTGGGGATCCTGCATGCCCCCTGGGGGAATGGCAACCCTAACTATTATTATGGTTGCCTGTAGTCTGACAGGTTAAGCTACCAATATAGCTCTTCCAAAATGTCTAGTTCCTTAGCCAAGGGTATCATAAGTGGGATGCATGTGACCTTACTTATGTGGAATGTATGGACTCTTCCTGCGTCTTTTCCTCCTTCCTCTAAGAAGGTCATCCATTGTAATCAAAAATGGAGTTTAGGACAGGATAACAGTTGGTTCCACAGTTCTGAAATGTCTAGGGCCATCTGACCTATGCCATATTCAGCAGACTCTCTTCAGGAAGCTCAGATGTTGGGAATAAGTCCCCAGGCAGCATGACAGGAGAGTGTTTTGGTGTGGTACAAATAAACAAAGAGCCATCTGGAGGAAAAAGAGAGAAACATAAAAGGGGTGTTACTTTAAAGTGTCGTGACTTACACTGACAGTTTTTTTGTTGGATTACTGAGGCTTAATAATGTTAGTATTTAGGCTTTTAAGTTAACATCTGCCATTGCTTGCTGAAAATAGGTTTCTGAATATCTAGGGTTAACAGGGTAATCATGGATAACTTTCTGTTGTTGGAGAGTATAGGACAATAATGCAGACATTTAAGAATAAGTCACATGAGAATGTAATTAATTTTTGCCTAAAAAAAGGATGATGACTTTTAATTCCATTCTTAAAATTTAAAGCAACTTTTTATTTATATGCTGATACTATATTGAACAACAACTATCATATTATAATGAAATGGAAGCATTGTTAGTTCTTTTTCTGCTACTTTTTAAAGAGGCTAGATCAGGGCAATCTTTTTAAAAATGTAATTGCAGTATAATTGCAGTATAATTGCAGTATAAAAATGTAATTGCAGTCCCACTGCTGGACCTCCTGATGGCACCTGGTATTTTTGGCCACTGTGTGACAGATTGTTGGACTGGATGGGCCACTGGCCTGATCCAACATTGGCTTCTCTTATGTTCTTATGTTCTTAATTTAAAAACTTGATGCACATCTTCAAAGACCTTAATTCACTAGAGCCTGCAAACACTTAACTAGATCAGTGGTTGCCTTTAAGTGTATCATCTTTACAAATTTGTGCAAATTAACACTTTTCTGACATTGTTTGAGGGCTCATTGATCAAACATTGTGGCAAATCAAACTAGAGATCTAGCTGGTTAAGAAGTTTGGGAGACACTAGCTCTTTGATGTCATTGTATTTCTGAATATGTAGTTCTGTTCTTACATCAACATGTTTTCTCACAAATATATTTACTTTCAAGGAGAAATGTATTTCAGGAAACAATTATTTGCCAGTTAGGAAGCACTGCTCCATATTACCAGCTGAATCAACCATTCAAGGAATCTGTGCTACAGTTTTTCAAAGCCAGTCTCTAAAAACGCAGTATTAGTGCATAGCAAATGTGTGTTGATATTTATTTATTTATTTATTTATTTGATATATATAGACCACCACCCCCTGCACACAGGGCTCTGGGCAGTGAACAACATCTTGATAAAAGTATTTCAGTTAAAACCTTTACAATCAGATTAACAGTTAAACAACAGCAATTTCTGACCTAATTCAGATGGTGCTTATATTCCTGACCCCATGGGGGGAGGAAAACGGAAGAGGCCAGACTTGATGGAAAAATCATTGCTGTCCTCAACCATAGGTCCGGCGGAACATCACTGTCTTACAGGCCCTGCGGAACTGTACTAGGTCCCGCAGGACACAGATGTCATTGGGCAGAGTTATACCAGGCCGGCGCCAGGGCGGAAAAGGCTCTGGTTCTGGTTGAGGATAGCTGGATATCTTTCAGACCAGGGATCACCAGAATATTTTTCTCCCCAGACCGTAATGCTCTTCTGGGGGTATACTAGGAGAGGCAGTACCGTAGATATGCCTGTAGATCATCCCATAGATGTGCCTGTAGATAGAACATGCTATACACACAAAGACCTGCATATACATCCTTTAACTATCAGTAGCTCTGAAACCTTTTGTTGGTGCTTGGACTTACAGTACGTGTCCAGTAGACTATGGCAAAGAGAGGGGCCAAAACAGTCCTTGTTCCTCCCTGTGGAATTCTAAAAAGCTATTATTACCTACACAGTGGCATTCTTGGCTTTATGGTCAAATAACAGGCAGTCAGTGTTGCCATCCCTACTTATGAGTCATACAAAAACACATTGAGTGTTGCACATAAGCCAGTTTTGACTCAGTACCTTGGAGGGGAACTGGGATGGCTGTAGGATGTGTACAAAGCAGTTATAACTGTAATACTCCCAAATAATAAAAATTAAAATTATAGGCTGGATGTAATTTTAGCTTTATTACCAAGGAGATAATTCAGGCCAGAGAGAGATGGTTTTGATTGCATATTTCAAACCAGTACTTAAAATGGTTCTGGAAAACTTTGACTAAAGCTTGAAACTTTTGTGTAGCAAACATATAGTTGATTATGATTTTGTCTGCTTAAAGTATCTTTTTTTGCTGCAGGTACGGCTCAGATGAATCCTCTTAGTGCTATTAAGAATAGAATTCCTTGCTTATCCCCCAATATCTTTCATTCACAAAGGGTGGCCTTGCAAACACACTTATAAACTGCCAGTCTGGCATCTTACTAAATATTCTTCTTTCTCTAGTTTAATATATGTTTAAGGGTGATTCCTGATTATTCTACAGGCAGGCTTTGCATAATTCTTAGTCATGACGAAACTGCAATAGGATTTTGTTCAGATGTGCAGTTTGCTAATGCTTTGCTCTTTCTCTTAAGGTTGTACGTTATTCTTCTACGAGAGTGATGGCAGGTCTATAATAGACCACAACAGTATCCCAAAACATGCAGTCTGGGTGGAAAATAGCATTGTGCAAGCTGTTCCTGAGCACCCAAAGAAAGACTATGTTTTCTGCCTCAGCAATTCTCTTGGAGATGCATTCCTGTTTCAGGTTTGTTCTGTCCTTGATTTATTACACAATCAATTTCCTTCTTCAGCACATCTTTCAGGCAAAGACCTGCTCTACTACCATTTGAGAAAAAAACTGATGATGGGTACTTTTATGCCTAATTATGGGTTTTATTTATTGACTTCGTTTATAGTCCACCTTTCTTGCTGTGACTCAAAGTGGATTACATTCTATTTATTTATTTAATTTATTATTAATATTACTTTAACACTTGTTGATTTTAGTAATCCAAAGAATTCCAATGTCAAGCGATAATGAAATGGGGTTTGTACCTTTATTCAGTCTAGAGTTGCATCCTGAAGACTGGAAGAACGTGTCTCCAATTTCACAGCAACCCCTGACTATATTATGTAGACTAGTAATTGTATTGTGCTGTATTTGGGGCACCATCTCTTGCCACATGGAAATAATGCTGAGAGAAGAGTTCTAAGGGACGTTTGAAGAATTTCCATTTAATATATTTACATTAAAGTTGGGTAGCAGAGGGGAAAGTATACTTTATGATCCATTAATTCTTTTATTACAGTTTATGTTATAGAACAGTATGCTGTTCAGCATAGGCTAAACTTAGGATTTTGGGTATAGATATGAGCCCTGCTACTGAATATGTCTGGAGGTTTTTATTTTTACTTTTGAGGAGAGCAGCTGCCCCAGGAGGTCATGAAATATTATTCCTTATTTCATGAATATATTGTTCCACAGATTAAATCTGCCCCCTTAAATTATTACTGTGGATGGGGTGGGAATTCCCATTGAGAATGCAGGTATTCTTAACCTGGAGGGATAAAAAAATGAAATGTCACATGCAATTGATCAAAATTATTAATTAAATGGCACTGAAATATTTACCAAATGAGGTAAAATAAGGCCATTATTCTGACAAATTTTATAACCTGCAAACATTCAAATTTATAATATAATCATAGAGAGAAGTCTAGTCTATCTGCTTTAAACTGTATTCTGGGGTCCCCTTGTGGTACCTTAAGGGCCTATCTGAGGTTCCTCAGTGAGCAGACTAGTAATGGCACGCAAGCTGACTTGAAAAACAGATAACCAGACCATTACAGATCTCTCCCTGCAATGAGGTAGGAACAGGGGAGCATTTGGTCCTTTCAAGGGCACATTCTTAGTTCACACAAGGCAATGACAAAGCCAATGTGTACCAAAAGAACCAAATTTGCATTCAGAATGTGCTCCCCAATATTCAATAATATACAGACAATGGCAGACGCCAGTGTAGAAAGGTTGTCTGGAAGGTAGAAAAGCTTGCGAATCACCGACCAACCTAAATCTGCATTCCTAAGGAAGGACATCCCCGAATGACATCTTGCATCCTTTACCTAAAATCTTCTAAGGAATATATATATATATATATATATATATATATATATATATATATATATATATATATATATTCCTAAAAAGATTTTAGGTAAAGGATGCAAGATGTCATTCGGGGATGTCCTTCCTTAGGAATGCAGATTTAGGTTGGTCGGTGATTCGCAAGCTTTTCTACCTTCCAGACAACCTTTCTACACTGGCGTCTGCCATTGTCTGTATATTATTGAATATTGGGGAGCACATTCTGAATGCAAATTTGGTTCTTTTGGTACACATTGGCTTTGTCATTGCCTTGTGTGAACTAAGAATGTGCCCTTGAAAGGACCAAATGCTCCCCTGTTCCTACCTCATTGCAGGGAGAGATCTGTAATGGTCTGGTTATCTGTTTTTCAAGTCAGCTTGCGTGCCATTACTAGTCTGCTCACTGAGGAACCTCAGATAGGCCCTTAAGGTACCACAAGGGGACCCCAGAATACAGTTTAAAGCAGATAGACTAGACTTCTCTCTATGATTATATTATAAATTTGAATGTTTGCAGGTTATAAAATTTGTCAGAATAATGGCCTTATTTTACCTCATTTGGTAAATATTTCAGTGCCATTTAATTAATAATTTTGATCAATTGCATGTGACATTTCATTTTTTTATCCCTCCAGGTTAAGAATACCTGCATTCTCAATGGGAATTCCCACCCCATCCACAGTAATAATTTAAGGGGGCAGATTTAATCTGTGGAACAATATATTTTAATGCTTTTTCTCAGGTTTTGTTGTATATTTTCCCCATCTGTGTTCTTTAGAGAATCTTAACTATAGGCCAGTTTTATTGGAATCAAGAGGCATCTTCCTTTCAAGTAATGGCATGTCCTTGGGTGGAAACATTTTTATTTCACCCTGTTGCTGGTCTGCTCCATGTTGTTTATTTTCCTGCATGTGTGGTAGGGCATATAGAAACCTTGCAGAGCTATCTTTGTTAAACGTTCTTTTCTTCTGTCCTCCATCTGTACTTGTAACACATCTCTCCCTTATATATAATTGAGTAAGACGCAGAGTCACGCAGCGGAGAGAAAATGTGCACCAACAGTGTTTGGACGCTTGAACTGTCCGTCAGAAGCTTCCCCAGCTTCCATTGGCCGTGTCGCCTAACTCCCACCTCAGACCACTCTCCCCCCCGCCCAACTAGCCAGGGCTGGAGGGAATCAGTGGAAGCCCGGCGCCGGCAGCTCATCCCCGCTCGCCGTGGCCGGATTCCCCCCCTTTATTGCATGCCTGTTTTCCCCCCTCCCCCGCCTGCCCACCCACCCCTGCCTTCAAAGACCGCTCTCCGGGGACACTCAAGGAACACTGAAAT